CGGGCGGCGTGAGGGCACTGCCTGGCTGGGGTGGCCCAAGAGTTTGGGTTGGGACTTTGAGGCAAGCTGGGGCAGGTTCACAAACAGCCCACCGGAAGTGAAACCAGCATTTCACATTCATTCACTCATTCACTGGAGGGTCTTCACCGAGCACCTCTGCACTAGTGAGCAGGCCGTGAGACGGCCCGCCCTGGGCTGAGCCTGGGGCCCTGGAGGAAGCTCAGTACTGGGGACCCTCCTGGCTTCCTGGGAATGAGGAGCTCTGCAGGCCAACCACCAACGTAGGGCGCAGGGCGGCAGCTTAGCAGGCCAACCTGAGTGGCCCCGGACCCAGCTATAGGGGTCAGGGGCTGGGGGAGCTGTGCCCTGGGCCAAGGCCAGGGGAGGAGAGACTGGACAGCAGGAGGCCACTGTCATGTCAATTTCTCCTTCCTGTCCTGGGGAAACGGAGGACAGGGTGGACCAGACAAGCCCCCAGGGTGCAGGGTGCCAGCGGCTCCCTGGAATGGGGCCTCCCTGGAGGGAGGGCTGGGTCCGGCAGCAGCTCCAGGGCCCCTGGGTCCTGGGCACCAGGCCCTGGGCTCCTGCCCCTTCCCTCTCCTGCCTTCGGAGCAGCGTTGAGCCAGGCAGGGGTCGGTGCTCCCTGGGGGGCGGCAGGGAGGTGGGGGGGTGGCGGCAGGGCGTCACCGCCCGCCAGGCACCAGGTGACCAGACTTGGTGTCCACAGGCTGCAGTCCTCTGAAGCGCGGCTGCACTTCAGTGCTCTGCCACTGCAGGCCTTCCCTGGCCCCTGCTGACAAGGCCTCTGGCCTGCTCACCCTGCAGCCACCCCGCCTCGGCCTGCCCAGCCCCCCTTCTGCCTGCCTGCCCAGCCCAAGCTCCACTGTGCGCCCTATGGCCCGACAGGGCCTGGGCCCCCGAGGGCTGTGTGCTCTGGGGTGGGGGTGGGGGGCGGCTCTCGGCCTCTGCTCTTTCCTCATTGTGAAAATAAGAGGCGCCCGCCTGCCGCGTGTGTCCACGTGTGCAGGCGCGAAGGCTGCGTCTCCTCCCACTGGCCTGCCTGAGCCGGGAGCAGCCCTGAGTGGCTCAGCCAGCAGACCCCAGCCCCAGGCACAGCCCAAGCACTGCCACTGGGAGAAACCGGCCTGCTGACGGCCACTGGGAGGAACCCAAGTGGACGCTGGCGGGGCCCTTGGAGGCGTCGGGGACAGGCGGCCAGCAGGGCTGGGGTGGCCGCTCGGCAGGACAGCGCTGGGAACTCCGAGTCCGTGGCACTTATTCACGGCAACAGGCTCGTTTGCGGAAAGTTACTTGTCTGGAAACAACCCCTTTCCAGAATGTTTTCTCCTTCTCTGTACTTTGCTCGTCCCGCTACCTGTGACTGTGCTCGGAGGGCACCTGGGAGACACAAAGGGTTTGGAACTCAGGAGGCAGCGGTG